ATATTGCGAAAGTATCAATATGCACGCTGACAAACAGAGACAGAAAATGAAAAAAGCACAGGCTATTTACACCAAGTGAAGGTATGATCTTTGTCATAAATACTGTTTGGATAAAGTGTACTATAAATAGCAACAAATAACATTTTGTTTACACTAAGAGCTAACATTGATGGTATTTGCACACAGTGTAACATGCTGTTATACTATTTGTCCTAAGGGTAGATTGTCTGAGCAGTAGTGGCTGGTAAAAATAGCCTTTGCCAACAAGGTTGGCTATTTGCAATTGGTGTTAATTATTAAAAAAATTATAAAATAAATAATAATTGAAATAGGAATAAAAGAGAATTCAAATAAAGTTGCCAGTAGGGTGTCAAGTATTGTAATAAAATGAACACAAATCTAACGTATTCATATTTACCTCATCGAATAACATGTTTATTAGGATTTATTTTATTTTATTTTATACTATTTATAATTGTATAAAACAACAGAAAATATATCTCTCTTTCTTTCAATGTCTTGTTTTATGGCACATTCATACAATTTTATCAATTAACAGAACATAGTAGCTACTGTTTGTATGTTTGTATGTAACTTATCTGCAAAATAATCTGTTTTTAAAAAAAGGAAATCTCACCTTTTAGAAGTAGAACAGCACCTTCGGAAGATAATCCATCAAATAATCCATCCAATTTACAAGTGATTAGTCAGATTGTGTTTAGTTGCTAAATGCTAACCTGAAGAGCTCACCTGCAGGAGCGAAGAACCGGTTTAACAATCATGTACTGCCATCTTGCGGGGAGCGCCATGTAATGCAGACCTCACACTGTCCTGGCAGTGCAGATGTGTTGTCTTTCACTGCTCTGTTTATGTGTTACACAGTTAAGGGATAATGTACACTGAGCCCACAGGGTTCGCGATAATATATCGTAACTTACGTTACGTTAGTTATTCGGTGGACGCAGTAACCGTCACATTTGAGCTTGGAACGCCGACATTGGCCAATCAGAATCCAGTATTCCAGAGCGCAGATTCCAGTGATAATAGTATATTTTTAAACGTCTCTCCAGATAAAATGTGAATGTTAGTATGACAAAATCTTTCGCGTTAAAACAGATTAAAACGTTTTAATGTTATATGGTGCTTAGTTTAAATATTGGGCGGTTTGATGTGAGAAATCAAGCTTTAAAAGTTGCTGAGGTGTTGCTGGTATTAAAACATAATGTTCTCTGAATGTTCAAAACGTCCATTATTTTTTCCCAAAAATTTTTCTTGGTTATACAAACATTCCACTTTATCATTTTGCGAACATTATGGGAATGTTACTTTTGTATGTTCTCTATAAAAAAATGTTTAACATCTAAATAAAAAGTTTCAGAAAGTTCAAAGTTCCATGAATAAACAATGTTTTTGTGATCTAACAAACATTCTATTAACAGAAGAACATTTGTTCATAACAACCAATCAATTCTATAAAATGAAAGTCTTTCTCTCTCTCTCAACATTGTTGCAGAAGTTCCCTCAGCTGTGTTGCTTTGCCCTACCCTTCTGCCCAGTTGTTCCTGAACTGACTCAGTGGGGTTTAAGTCTGGACACTGCGCTGGCCGTCCATCATTTGAAGTGAAGGTCGTCCTGGCATAGCCTGGAGGTTTGTTTCGGGTTCTTTTCTTGCTGTCGGATGAACCCCTGACCCACTAGCGGAGACCAGAGCGTGCAGCATTGTGCTGTGAGGATGTGCTAGTGTTCTTGCTTGCAGGGAGCCACTCACTTTAAGCAAATCGCAGACTCTGGATCCAGCAAAAGATCCCCAGAGCATCATGCTTCCTCCTTCATGCTGGACTGCTGGTGTCACACAATAAGAAACATCCTTTCAGTTTAATGGCTTCAAGACCTTATTCCAATCATAAATAGTCCACCGGTGCGGTGGGTCTTCATGGGCTATTTTGTTATACAAAAACTACAGGTCTAAAACTTTTAACCTATTGATTAACCTCTTAAAAGTCAAAGTTTGTGCAATAAAAGTAGAGCAAAAATAATTATGAATTTTTGCATCCTATAGATGAATATATCATATTTGACAGCCTGGTTGTGCAGAAAACCATGGAAAAATACAGTAACACTTCATTTAGGGACCAATTCTCACTATTAACTAGTTGCTTATTAGCATGCACATGACTAGAATATTGGCTGTTTGTTAGTGCTTATAAAGCCCATATTAATGCCTTATTCTGCATGACCATATTTTAGATCCCTTAATACCTAAACTTAACCACTACCTACTATTAATAAGCAGCAAATTAAGAGTTTATTGAGGCAAAAGTCTAAAATACTAATAGGCCATTGCAAAATAAGACATAAGATCATTTTGGATGGAACAAGGTTTTTCAAGTTTATTTGCTGTCAGTGTCATGAAACACACAGGAAATAAAAGTACAAAAATGTGTTTCATAATTATTATGAAAAACAACAACAACAACAACAGTTCAGTGCTGCACTGAAAACAAAAACAAAGAAGCAATATTGAAAAGTGAATCTACTGTAAATGAACAGGCACACCGTTACCGAGGAGCAGACGTTTGATCAGATATGATCTGATTGATATATGACTGCTAGTATAATTGAAACGATGTTTTCTTCAACCAGAAACATAACATGCCCAGGCCAAATTTCATCTTGAAACTGAAAAAAATTATTATAAGAAAATTAAATTTAAGGATGATTACCACAACAAAACATTTTAATAATTGTAATTATTTTCCGCATTACAATAATGAGAATTCTTGGGGAAAATGTGCTTAACTATCATTAAAAAAATTGCCATTTTTCCTTTTGATTTAGTTGTTACTTATGACCCAGATTTTGAGGTTTTGTGAGATCGCACTGTACAGAAAGCATGAATTGAGAAGATAAACATACTGTGCACTCCAGCATTCACACAGCTGTAGAAAAAAAGACATAGACGAATATGACAGCAATAACGGAGCTAAATATTCAAATAATAATAACAACAGTAATAAAACTAACAGTCAGAGAAAAAGAAATCTTATCATATACTGGATCAGAAGTCAAGTTACCAGTGTTCCAACTACAGTGCAATTATGACCTTGGCCATCAGAGAGTTTTTTAAAATGCTTTTCAATTTTTTTTCTTCTTTTTTTAAATTTTAATACACAGCTGTAAAACAATTTATAATATTGTGTTCATTTTACAAGTCATTCTACAAGAAACATACACAGAAAAGATCAGAGAGGACGCAGAAAACACACCAATTGTTCATTTCTACAACAGAAATCGCAGCCCATGATGGTCATTAGTTTATTTGTTTGTCTTATCGAGTCATTTATTCTATATAGTCTATAGCTTGGTTATTGTACAGTTATACTGGCTATTCAAAACGGATCATAGGTTATTAGTTTTTACATGAGCTCTGCCAGATCTGAGTCACTTTTGATCGTTTCACTATTACAAATATTCCAATCCAGGTGCGTGACGCCGTTTACCTGAATTCTGCCGTGTGTCTATACAAATCTATTTCAAATGTACAACAACTGTTTGCTCTGTCATTCGTGGTGACGGGATTTCTCTCACCCATGCATGCAGCTCTAGAATGTAAACCGTCATTGATACATTCCACGGCGTGATACAGCAGAGGATAATGTCAAGTGTTCATGTTATGTGCGTTGGTGACGGGTCGTCATTCACGGCATGCACGGATACAGATTCTCTTCAGCAAACAGGACATTTCTCGCAACAAACACGTCATTTATAAAATACCTGAATTTTTCTGACGCATGATTAAAAGAATAAAAAGGAACCCCTGGAAAACAGCAAGAGTTTGAGCTTATTAAGTGTTCAGATTATGGCTATACCATACCATTTGAAGCCGAGTGCACGCGGTACGACTTTTTCCTGTCAGACTGTGCAATAAACGTCAAGTCAGACTGTACATCTTATATATCTTAGCTTAAACTTGAGTCTTGACTCACAGCATTAACTGGAAGTTTTATTTAATTGATAACAATAGTTCTAATGTTGCCAAACAGATGCTAACAAATAGTTTTATTTTTATAAAAATTTGGGACCCAACGTTTTATTAATTAATAATTCAAATTTGGTTCCGGTTTGGTGCAGTTACTCATATTTACCTGGCCAAAAAGTAAGATAAAATTATGACAGCTTGTAATGTAAATCAAGGTTTTATTCATATTTTTTTACGTAATACATTTTCGCTGATTAATTAGCTTGACTAAATAATAATTGTAATATTTTTTTTATTTAATAACAGTTAAAAATGTATTACATTAAATGCCACAATAATAATAATAATAATAATAATAATAATAATTTTTTTTGAGAAATAAAAAAATCTGGGTTGTTTTTTGTATCCTATTCATGCTGAAAGGAATATTTTACCCAATATTTGTCTTAGATGGCAAAAAACTATTGAAATATTTGTATTTATTATTTAAAAAACATGTTACATTAAAATAAAAAAATCTTCTTCTTCTTCTTCTTCTTCTTCTTATTATTAAACGGATTAGATTAGTCATAGACTGCAAAAAATAATTGTCATATTTTTAGTTAATAAAAATAAATATTTTTACATTAAAATAAAAACGTCATAATGATAATAATTATTATTATAAAAGTTTTGTTAAAAAATAGGGCTATACAGTATTTTGTACTCTATTCATGCTGAAAGTAGTCTTTTACCCAGGATTTGTCTTAGATGGCAAGAAAATAACAATTGAAATATTTTTATTTAATAGTTATATAACTTGTTACATTAAAATATAATAATTATTATTATTTATTATTATTAGTAGTAGTAGTATTATAAACGGAGAAAAAAAATCAGTCGTACAGTATTTTGTACCCTATTCATGCAGAAAGGAAGTTAAATAATTTTACATTAAAATAAAAATGTCATAGTAATAATGATAATAACAATAATTATATTAATAATAATCATTATTATTATTATAAAACATTTGCTGGAAAAAAAACTGTACCCTATTTGAGCTGAAAGAAGTCTTTTACCCAGGATTAGTCTTAGATGGCAAAAGGAAAAATCGTAGCATGTGCACCCGGCTGTAGTTTGCTCACACCATACAGAGACCCAGCTGGTCTGCCGTTAAACCTTAGCTTTGATTGATAGCTTAATAAGATGGTCTCATCCACACTGAGAGTGTTTGTATCAGGACAGAGTACGTTATACATTCCCATCTACATTTGCGCACCACAGACCACAGATCATCCCTCGCTGAATATCAGGGTCCTCAGAAGTCCAGTCTGTTTAGTGATGCTCGTGCTTATCACAGTCTCAGAGTTCAGAGTTCAGAGCCTAATGCTCATCAGGGAGTGGACAGTGAAAGGGTTTCCTGTCCAAGGCACAAGCTGCGGTTCAGAGGGTGATGCGGGCACAGTGATGTTTGAGCTTGCAGGGCAGAACGCCTCTGTTCAGCTGGTAAAACTCCACTAGCTGCAGCAGGTCAGTGAAACGCGTGTGTCCGTCGTCCAGACTGTAGAAGAGCTCGCCGTTCTCTTCAACCTGACAGTCACACACACAGCAGGAGAGTTATGGGACAAACAGATATCCCAACAAATACATTTACTGCCACTTTCCATCGACACGGTACACTTTTATTTTGTGGACTTTTCAGATAAACTATAATCTAACATCAAACTAGCCTGACATAAAAAGGTCATTTTTAGTATCACAAATTGATACTCTAATTAAGTGTAGTGAAATCATTTAAATGTCTGTCAGATACTGTAATGTGCCTAATACACAACACACTTGGGTATACATTTCTTCTTCACTTGCAGAAACTGACAGGTGGTTTTTATAAAATGTAGATCACTACCTTCTCATTTGTTTAAAAGATTACTGCAATTATGAAAGCTTCATAAAATGTTGTTTCATTTTCCAAAGCATAAAAGATGCATGATTTGTTACATTACATTTGTACACCTTAGCAGATTTCGACATGTATATACACAAGATTTTAACCAAAGTGATTGTAAGAGAAACTTATTAAAAATAATAGTTTCTTTCATTTATGGAAATATAAGCTTATCACTAACTATAAACTAACATTTCATCACAACCTAGTCAGCTGAGTGACAGACAACATAATTTAGTCTAAATATGCAATGCTGTTACCTGCCACTAATTTACCCATTGTGGCATAGCTGTTATTATTATTATTTAAATCTATTACATTTATTTGTATTTTTTTTTTATTAATAGTTAGTGATTTTTTAAATTACATTTTTTATTTTATTTAATAATATTTTTTTGATTTACATTTACAAATAAAATAGTATGCATAAATAAAAATACAAATAATAAGTCATTAATTTGTTGGGGGAAAAAATCCTATTTAATACCGCATTTGTAGAAAGTGGCTATAGTTCATGTGTGTTAGTACAGACTTACCGGTACAATCTGAAAGTGTTTGATTTTCTGCGTATGGCACAGTGACAGAACAAATGTCCTCGGGTTACTTTGACTGTCCCTTACCAGAAACACCCTGAGAAGAGAGAAACAAATGAGAGACTTCATTCAGATTTAGAATTCAGTGTATCTTTAAAATCAAGTGCTTCAAAAATGGCATCACAATACTAAATAAAAATCAATATCGTCTGAATGAATATACCCATCGATGAGGCCCAGCTGAGTGATTAGTTTCTGAGCCTCGTCCCGGGACAGTTTGCTGTGAAACCACGGCTGAGCCACATGGATAGCTAGAGAAGAGAATGATATCCTTATGTCAGACAGAAGAAGGATCATCAGGTTTTTACTCTGTTTTGTTGACGTGTGTTTGTGTGCTGACCTATGCTGGACATGGAGCTCTGAGAGGTGGACGGACTACCATGAGAGCTCAGCCTGTGGCAGCTTTTCCTCTAGAGAAGAAGAGAACACACATATACAGTATATATAATACTTTTTTATTATTTTTTGTTGGCGGTCTGAACAAATAATGCATCCAAAAAAATATATATTGAAAAGTACAACGAAAGCAATAATTTTGTTCAACCTGGAAGAGTGAAACAACTCTAATGCAGTTTTAGTTACTTTAAGGCATAGTTCACCGAAAAATAAAATTTGTTTACTCACCCTCAAACCTGTATGAGTTTCTTTCTTCTGTTGAACACAAAATAAGATATTGTGAAGAATGTTGGTAACGAAACAGTTGACGGTAGCCATTGACTTCCATAGTATGGAAAAAAATAGTCAATGGCTACCGTCAACTGTTTGGTTACCAACATTCTTCACAATATCTTATTTTGTGTTGAACAGAAGAAATAAACTCATACAGGTTTGGAACAAATTGAGGTTTAATATACAGATGCTATTAAAATATCTGTGCACAATGTTCATAATCTAGTATGTAGCGTGTTGTTTGCGAGTATGTTACCCTCCACGACAGACCCTCCTCCACAGCCACTGACAGCGCCTCGGACGGGTTCTCGATCACCCGACTCTTGTGTCCTGAGAAGTCCATGGCCACCAGTGAGTTCTCCGAGATGCTCCTCTGAAAACACATGCAAAAATGCAATAGTGAATCTCACAGAAAACATGATCAGATTACATTCCACACCAAAAAAATCTGAATTTCTAAATTCAGCATCATATGTGACCCTGGACCACAAAACCAGTCAAAAGGGTCAATCGTTTGAAATTGAGATCTATACATCATATGAAAGCTTTCCATTGATGTATGGTTTATTAGGACCGGACAATATTTGGCTGAGATACAACTATTTGAAGATCTGGAATCTGAGCGTGCAAAAAAACAAGATACTGAGAAAATCGCCTTTGAAGTTGTCCAAATGAAGTCCTTAGCAAAGCATATTACTAATCAAAAATTAAGTTTTGAAAAAAAAAGCCTTTATTCAGAGGCCCAAACTGAGCAAAAATATGCAATTTGGTGCAGATGCTGATATTTATATGGTCAAAAAGTAAGATGACGGCTTAAATATTTAAATAATATACATTTTTAAAATATAAAAAAATTAATTATTTATTAATAATAATATTTAATATTAGCTTCAGTTTTAGTTTTAGGTCACTATAATAAACCTGACTCTGGTACAGGTTCATGCGGTTTCATGTTAATGTATAAAGTTTGTCAAATGCATAAATTATTAAACAAATCAAATTTCAGCTGTAAAGCAGTTCTACAGAAGATAATAGTGTTATTAGACTGTCTATGATTTCTATGAATCTACGAACAGTCATTTGAACTCATCTATGAATTCAGCCCCGTATTTGATCTGCTTGCTCTCTCTGCTCTTAAAGATGTTGAGTTGTGAAGGGCTTCCAGCTGTGCTGGTTTCCAAGAGCACACTCACTTATCAAACAAAAGAAGCATTTTCTTTCCACAGTGATCCCTATAGCGAGAGAAGCAGTGATTATGACTTCTGAAAGGTCCTTAATCTCAGCCGTGTGTTCGTATCCATACAAACGCACTAATACACGAGCGGTGAGGGTTTATGACACTGGATGACAGAATAATTCCACAAAGACAACAGCTTCACCTCATTCTGCATCGACTGCTTCTGTGTGTTTGAGTAAGAAAGTGAAAGAAAGTAAATCCAGACACAGAGAGCTGAATCTCATGAAGCCGTGAATCTCAAGAACACGTTGTGTCATACTTAGTCCCCAAATCAAACAAAATAAGAAATTATATTTAGCATATTTTGTGAAGCATATAATTTGAGCTCATTGTTTTTAATGCAGTGACTGATCTGAATTGCAACATTATTTTCATGATAAATAAAGAAAAGTGGCTGTGGCATTTAAACATCCAGAAAACAATTTCTTGATAAATTTGCCGCTTTTCATGTTTTGATAAATTATGTTTTACTCAACTGGGTGATAGTGAATACAGGATAATTAATCTATTATGAATACATATGATGAAATGTGCAAAATTGTCTTAAAAGATAATGTCAATTTTATAATAATAATAATAATAATCTGGGTACTCAAAGCGCTTTACATACAGGTGCATCTCAACAAATTAGAATGTCGTGGAAAAGTTCATTTATTTCAGTAATTCAACTCAAAGTGGCTATAGTTCATGTGTGTTAGTACAGACTTCCCGGTACAATCTGAAAGTGTTTGATTTTCTGAGTATGGCACAGTGACAGAACAAATGTCCTCGGGTTACTTTGACTGTCCCTCACCAGAAACACCCTGAGAAGAGAGAAACAAATGAGAGACTTCATTCAGATTTAGAATTCAGTGTATCTTTAAAATCAAGTGCTTCAAAAATGGCATCACAATACTAAATAAAAATCGATATCGTCTGAATGAATATACCCATCGATGAGGCCCAGCTGAGTGATTAGTTTCTGAGCCTCGTCCCGGGACAGTTTGCTGTGAAACCACGGCTGAGCCACATGGATAGCTAGAGAAGAGAATGACATCCTTATGTCAGACTAGGGATGCAACGATTATAGATTTTGTTGGTACGATTATTGTCTGAGGAATAATCACGGTTTTACGATTATGACGATTATTATGCATTTATTCATTTCCCAACATTACTAATGTATAAAATCACATGAACACTCTTTAGATATTAAAGTGTTATTTACTGCTGGCTTTTTAAACAGAAATAACACAGTAACCAACAATACAGCAAAAAATAATAATAAACAAAAGACAAACAAAAGTCCATCTCTCCCACTGGAATTAAAAAAAGGTGACCTCTGCTCTGTAAACATCCATGACAGTATTTCTCTTTTGAAAATAACAAATGGAAATAGATAGCAAAAGTATTTAATGTTTTCAGTTTGTACATTCTTTACATTTCTTTTGGACCTGGGGTAGAGACTTTGGAAATATGGTGAAAAAATATTGTTGGTTTTTACTTCTGAATAATACTACAACAGGGATAGTAAATAAAGTTAATGAAGTAGCCTATTATTAATATACGACTAATATTGAGCTCAGCCTGTGGCAGCTTTTCCTCTAGAGAAGAAGAGAACACACATATACAGTATATATAATACTTTTTTATTATTTTTTGTTGGCGGTCTGAACAAATAACGCATCCAAAAAAAAAAGATATTGAAAAGTACAACGAAAGCAATAATTTTGGTTAACTGTTCAACCTGGAAGAGTGAAACAACTCTAATGCAGTTTTAGTTACTTTAAGGCATAGTTCACCGAAAAATAAAATTCTGTCATCATTTACTCACCCTCAAACCTGTATGAGTTTCTTTCTTCTGTTGAACACAAAATAAGATATTGTGAAGAATGTTGGTAACGAAACAGTTGACGGTAGCCATTGACTTCCATAGTATGGAAAAAAATAGTCAATGGCTACCGTCAACTGTTTCGTTACCAACATTCTTCACAATATCTTATTTTGTGTTGAACAGAAGAAATAAACTCATACAGGTTTGGAACAAATTGAGGTTTAATATACAGATGCTATTAAAATATCTGTGCACAATGTTCATAATCTAGTATGTAGCGTGTTGTTTGCGAGTATGTTACCCTCCACGACAGACCCTCCTCCACAGCCACTGACAGCGCCTCGGACGGGTTCTCGATCACCCGACTCTTGTGTCCTGAGAAGTCCATGGCCACCAGTGAGTTCTCCGAGATGCTCCTCTGAAAACACATGCAAAAATGCAATAGTGAATCTCACAGAAAACATGATCAGATTACATTCCACACCAAAAAAATCTGAATTTCTAAATTCAGCATCATATGTGACCCTGGACCACAAAACCAGTCAAAAGGGTCAATCGTTTGAAATTGAGATCTATACATCATATGAAAGCTTTCCATTGATGTATGGTTTATTAGGACCGGACAATATTTGGCTGAGATACAACTATTTGAAGATCTGGAATCTGAGCGTGCAAAAAAACAAGATACTGAGAAAATCGCCTTTGAAGTTGTCCAAATGAAGTCCTTAGCAAAGCATATTACTAATCAAAAATTAAGTTTTGAAAAAAAAAGCCTTTATTCAGAGGCCCAAACTGAGCAAAAATATGCAATTTGGTGCAGATGCTGATATTTATATGGTCAAAAAGTAAGATGACGGCTTAAATATTTAAATAATATACATTTTTAAAATATAAAAAAATTAATTATTTATTAATAATAATATTTAATATTAGCTTCAGTTTTAGTTTTAGGTCACTATAATAAACCTGACTCTGGTACAGGTTCATGCGGTTTCATGTTAATGTATAAAGTTTGTCAAATGCATAAATTATTAAACAAATCAAATTTCAGCTGTAAAGCAGTTCTACAGAAGATAATAGTGTTATTAGACTGTCTATGATTTCTATGAATCTACGAACAGTCATTTGAACTCATCTATGAATTCAGCCCCGTATTTGATCTGCTTGCTCTCTCTGCTCTTAAAGATGTTGAGTTGTGAAGGGCTTCCAGCTGTGCTGGTTTCCAAGAGCACACTCACTTATCAAACAAAAGAAGCATTTTCTTTCCACAGTGATCCCTATAGCGAGAGAAGCAGTGATTATGACTTCTGAAAGGTCCTTAATCTCAGCCGTGTGTTCGTATCCATACAAACGCACTAATACACGAGCGGTGAGGGTTTATGACACTGGATGACAGAATAATTCCACAAAGACAACAGCTTCACCTCATTCTGCATCGACTGCTTCTGTGTGTTTGAGTAAGAAAGTGAAAGAAAGTAAATCCAGACACAGAGAGCTGAATCTCATGAAGCCGTGAATCTCAAGAACACGTTGTGTCATACTTAGTCCCCAAATCAAACAAAATAAGAAATTATATTTAGCATATTTTGTGAAGCATATAATTTGAGCTCATTGTTTTTAATGCAGTGACTGATCTGAATTGCAACATTATTTTCATGATAAATAAAGAAAAGTGGCTGTGGCATTTAAACATCCAGAAAACAATTTCTTGATAAATTTGCCGCTTTTCATGTTTTGATAAATTATGTTTTACTCAACTGGGTGATAGTGAATACAGGATAATTAATCTATTATGAATACATATGATGAAATGTGCAAAATTGTCTTAAAAGATAATGTCAATTTTATAATAATAATAATAATAATCTGGGTACTCAAAGCGCTTTACATACAGGTGCATCTCAACAAATTAGAATGTCGTGGAAAAGTTCATTTATTTCAGTAATTCAACTCAAATTGTGAAACTCGTGTATTAAATAAATTCAATGCACACAGACTGAAGTAGTTTAAGCCTTTGGTTCTTTTAATTGGGATGATTTTGGCTCACATTTAACAAAAACCCACCAATTCACTATCTCAACAAATTAGAATACTTCATAAGACCAATAAAAAACATTTTTAGTGAATTGTTGGCCTTCTGGAAAGTATGTTCATTTACTGTACATGTACTCAATACTTGGTTGGGCCTCCTTTTGCATGAATAACTGCATCAGTGCGGCGTGGCATGGAGACAATCAGCCTGTGGCACTGGCACAAAAAAACACAGTGGACCAACACCAGCAGATGACATGGCAGCCCAAATCATCACTGACTGTGGAAACTTAACACTGGACTTCAAGCAACATGGTTTCTGTGCCTCTCCACTCTTCCTCCAGACTCTGGGACCTTGATTTCCAAATGAAATGCAAAATTTACTTTCATCTGAAAAGAGGTCCACTTTGGTCCACTGTGTTTTCTGAAGTCCACAGTCAACGCAGCCATCTACCAGGAAATTT